CCTCTCTAGAAGTTAGCTCCTTTTGTAATAAAGCTTTAGTGCTTAAAAAAAAAAAAGAAAAACAAAACAAAACAAACAAAACCCCAAAAACAGAACAAAATAAAACAAAAAACAAAACAAAAAAAATTATCAAAACCCATATTGAATAGCCCACAACTGCCTACAACTCTGGCTCCGGGGATCCAAGCACTGACTAAACAGGTTATAGAGACCTGCAATCTTTCATGTCCTAGATTACACTCTTCATGCTCCTGATCCCTTTGGGTCTTCGTAATAACAGGCAGGGACAATTATCTCTACATTGTCTCTGTGAGGAGCCCACATCTTGGTTATCTGCTTCTCCTACATCCTCAAATCCCACCCATCCCTCGGCAAACAGATACTGATCTGCCTCTCAATGGCTATCCAAGATGTGGTTTCTCCCGATCCAAACTCCGCTGCTGCTTCACCCCAATCCATCACCTTTCCTTGGACTCTGCTGTGTCCAGATGAATGGTCTCACCATTTCTCCACTGCCCTCTCCTATGATCTTTCTTATTACAGAAATATGTTGTCAAATTTAAAGTCATACAATTAACCCAGGGACCGTAGTAAACAGGACCCCAGTTCAATCGATTGGATCAAGGCCTATGATTCTATACCTATGAGAAGCTGCCAGGTGAGGTCCATGCCATCTGTCTATGAGTACCATGTGAACAATCCGATGCTGTTTCTAAGATTTTAGCCTGAGCTGGAGGTGTAACAGTGGTAGTGAATTCTTCTAGCATCTATGAGGCATTGGATTTGGTCTCTAGCCTCAAATAATACCTTACATTTAAATATAAATACATCATCCCTTTCCCTGCCAGCCCTCAGTGGCTCTCTGTTGCACACACTGCTCCTGGGTCATCTCACCAGTGCCAGTTTTGCATGACTACACACAATACCCAAGGTAATCACCCTCCATATCGGAAAGTTTATTTGGGCCTACAGGTTTGGAGGTCTGGATCCATGGCTGCTTGGTCTGTTGCTTTGATGCCTGTGTTAAATACTGTCCCCTTCAAGAACACAGTCCCAGTGACCTGACTCCCTTACTAGACTCACTATCTCTCATGGTAGGTGGCCTCTAAAGAGAACTACCATGAGCTAGATTGCATTAGAGAAGGATCTGAACCCAGGGCAGAGTAGATATGTTCTTTTCCTGGCCACATACAATCACTTTGCCTTTCTGGGTCACTGTTCTCTCTCATCAATGGATGTTGCAATTTGTCAACCCAGAGTAATGGGGAAGCTTACACAAATCAGCAGGATGGGGCTAGAGAACTGACGACCCAAAGTCACATACAGTGAAACCTATGTGAGTACAGAGATGAGGTAGGGAAGACTCATACCTGTCTGAGAGCAAGGATACGGAGACAAGACGGTCAGAGCTCCTGGATTGTCCCGCCAGTCTACTTTTGCTTCCACTCTCAGAAAAGGCCAGTGCTCTTAAAGAGTGTTCTTGACCCTCTGGCCAGTGTCAAAACCCTTTTCTCCTACTTCCAGAAGTTTGGCAGACTTCTAGAGATCTGTCAGCCCAAGTCAGACCTCCCAGACTAGCCAAAGTAAAGACGAGGTCCTCCTCACAGGGTGGCAGAAGCAGGATGTCTCAGCTCCTCTCTGTCCCTATATGTTTTTGTCTGATAGTGTCTGAGTCTCTTTTATCCAACCTTACAAATCCTCACACAGGCAAAGGACAATGGGAATTCTCTGGAGCCAGCCTCAGTGGCCAGTGATAATCTGGAGGATTGGGTACAAGAATCACAGAATCTGGTGACATGGCAGGGAGAATGAAGCCAACCTCTCTGGAAGAGCTGTTTTGTCAAACCTCTCTTCAGGACTTTTATTATCTCTTTCATGGCAAAGAGACAAATTAGTGTCTATTTCTTCTAGTGCATGGGGTAACCCTGGACTTCAATCCCCACCAGTGATGTCTGCACCCCATGGCCCTCTGTGTCCAGTGTTCACTAAGCACGCCCTCGGGGGAAGGGTGTTGACTGCTGTGGCTCTTCATTGGCATTGTAGGGACCGTTTTGGGGCCTCTGCTCCCCAAGGAGATGGAAGCCACCACCTTCCACCCAGAAGGCTTTTTCTTCCTCCCAGAGGGCATTCTCTTCCTCCCAGAGGGACTTCTTATCCTCCCACAGAGCCTTTTCTTCTGCAAGCAGGGCTCTTTCTTCTACCCACAAGGCTTTTTCCTCCTCCCATAGGGCCTTATCCTCCTGAAGAAGATTCCGGTCTCTTTCCCATAAAGTATTGTCCTCTCTCCAGAATGCCCTGTCCTTCTTCCAGAAGGTTCTGTATTTTTTCCAGAAAGCCTTCTCTTCTTCACGGAAAGATTTTTCCATTTCCCAGAAGGTTTTTTCTTCCTTCCAGAAGATCTTCTCTTCTTCCCAGAAAGGTCTCTCTTCTTCCCAAAAACCCAGGATCTGGCCCCGGAAAGCCCGGATCTTGCCTCGGAACTCCCAGATCTCTTCCCTGAAATCTTCTATTTTCTCATGGAAATTTCTCATCTCTTCTCGAAAAGCCTTTTCCTCCTGCAGCTTATGTATTAATTTCTCCTGACGGATACTGGGTGAGGGTGGCACCAGTGACCGGAGGCAGGCCAGTCCCATCCATTTGCTCACCTTGAAGGGAAACATCTTCCAATCAGCTGGAATGGTGGATGGCTTTGTTGGAGGTCAGGGCTGTTGGCCACGTCCAGGTCAGTTGGCCAAACCCTGTGAGTACATCAGAGAGAACACATCCATGAGCAACATTTGCCAGAGAACCAGCGTTTGGAAGCATGTTGTCTGATATGAGAGAATGTAGTCATCATTCTCTTGAATCTTTAGTACAGAAGAATGCTGGGTGGTCATGGCTTTGAGCTGCTTGATACATTCAAGGTCTAGTGTTTCAAGAACAATCTCACCCAACAAAGACAGTGGTGCTAAAGTAGGACTTAAAGAACTCAAGGGTGACGTGATCATTTAAGGGATGGATTGTAGGTCATTTGCTTTCCTTTTATGTCATAAGTTGCCACACTCTCCAGAGGGTTTACTTTTGCCAAAGCCACTCAAGATTCATCCAAATTCTATCTTGGGAGTTCATGTTTATTCATGTTTGGTGGCTCCCATGTGAAAGTTGATTTTACAAGACACCGGGCCAATTGGTTGGGGAACCCTACCAATGGAGGGAGGGAAATTCTTTTAGCAAAAAAAAAAAAAAAAAAAAAAAAAAAAAGCGTATTTGATAAACAGAGGTTTGATGAGAAAATGTGAGACAATGCTAAATACTGGTGAGGCTGTGGAACCTGAAAACCACTCAGTGAGCTTTGTAATCAGGATAGTGGTTGGTGGGGGAACAACTCAAGGAGCGAGTAAGAGGTGATTAGAGCATCTGAGAAGGGTTGGGGGGCCAGGGCAGTGTCCTGTTTCTTTGCTTGGGTAGTGACTGCGTATGTTCATTAAAAAACCCCTAAACACCAGTTAAAGAGGAAATAAGAGAGAAAAAGAGAAGAAGAGAAAAAGGATGGGAGACGGGGGTGGGAATGGGGAAGGGACGAGGAAAGGAAAGAGGAAAATAAGGGATGGGAAGAGAAGGGAAGACAGGGAAGTGGAAGGAGAAGAGAAAATGAAGGAAAAGGGAGGAGAAAAAGAAAGAAAAGGAAAAGAAGGGGAAGGGGAGAGAGGAAAGGGGGAAGGTAGGAAGGCGGAGGAGAGGGAGAGGGTAAGGAATCTAAACACGGTAAATATAGCAAAAATCAAGGTAGCTCACAATTCAGATACGCACCACGGCCGGTCACAGGGTGAGAAAGATGAATGCCTAGAGTGTAGGGAAAGCTGAGCGTAGCTAGTGTGTGCTCGGGTGCACGGATACCATTGTGTGCTTCTTGAAAGCTGAGTTTGGCCTCAGTGGTCCTCACTAAAGCACCACACAGTAGACTATAGAGCAGCATGGTCCAGACTTTCCCTGTGTTCTCTTCTGGCTTGGAATTAGGGAATGAAGCACACACAGCTCCCCCACCCCTCTCTATTTGCCCACGCTCATTCACACTGGGTGGCTCATACGTGAAAGGAGTTTGCTACAAGGCACCAGGCAGTTGGATGATGAAACTAGCCAATGGAGTGTGTGTGTGTGTGTGTGTGTGTGCTCGCGCGTGCGCGCGCGTGAGCGTGCATGGGTGTGTATGCATACGTGTAAAGACGGTAGCTATACTGTGTATGGCTGTTGATCTCACTTCCCTCCAGTAACACAGACCAGAAGCTGGAGGCTCACCTCTGACCTCTTCCCCTCCTATACCAGATTTCTCCTCAGCCAACGAGCCCTATCATTTCTGACCCTTCACATCTCTTGGAGGCCCATACTTCCTGTTCCATCTTCCAGTAGCCACTTCTGGGTAGGATGTCTGTTCCTACTTCCATGGTCTCTAGTATTGATCTTGCTGTCCAGATATCTGCCTAGACAGTGGTGTAGTCGCCCTCACTGGATTTCTAAGGCTTTGTCCTGTTGTATCATACCTGCTTATAAACCATCAAA